TGAACATATTTCAAATAATTGTGATCGAACGTTGAAGGTATCAGACAGATGAAGCTGGAGTCAGCATCCTGTGCTCATAAAAGTACACACTCAAAATGATTGTGAAAATGTGCCAAGTGGAGGGCTTTGGGGCCAGTGGTTTAACAAGTTAGTTACATTGTCTATCCTTTGCAAGCCATACACCTTCATGTTCCACCTTGACTGAACTTGAGGCTCTTGTCAAAAGCAGCTCTCCCGTGTGAAGAGACAAAGTTGTATAACTTCTTTAATAACCACCTCTTCCTCTGCAGGGAGCTGTGTTCTTCCACCGGGACAAATGCCTGCTAATATTTTATATATTCCTGGTCAGTGACTTAAAAAAATAAAAAGCCTATCCAATTGCAGTCTGCCATTCAAAAGGAATGTTTCTGCAAAGAAAAAGATGTGAAAATGTAAGCATTCAAGTGAAAATTCAATCCTTCACAGTACAGAGCCTCTGTGAAGTTTTTTAAATGACCCTTTTTATCATGGTGCCATGTCTGTACCTTTCTGAACAGTGAGACCTGTAAGAAAAATAGATGTATGTATACAAGTGGTTGAGTAATGTATTACTCATATGTACTTTGTTCTTTTTGGCAAACTGACCTTATCAAAGGAAAGAAAGCTATACATTGTGACAAGCTGAGCCTTACCAGAAAGTCTGAATTAGGAGAGTGAGTCCTCTTATCTGGATTAAAATGTGATCAGAACCAAAAAAAAAAAAATTAGTAATAATCATTTAGTCTCTCGAGAAGTGGGGATACTGGGAAACTGAGTTCTGTTTGAATTAAAATCTAAGCTCTTATTGTGCATATAATTAGCCACCAGAATGGCTGCCTTAAAGAACAGTAATTATAACAAATACTTACCCCCTTTAATACACATCTCTTCTTTGATGTTTAAATAAACAGTTTTAAGCTTTTGATTTTCTATATTTTATAATGAACTATTATAAGAGGATGGTGACCAAATATCCATCACTTTGTCAGAAGCAAGTGCTGTCCTGCTTTGATTCCATTTGTTACATTTAAATGCAAATTTAAATTATGTCATTAATATTACACAAGGATTAGAGAGCATTGGTAGCTATTTAATAAATAAGCCCCTTAGATCTTGTATTTTTATAGGGATGCTTTCCTTATGATGATTTAAACTATTTTAGTGCAGTTATTGAATTGTTTCAAAAACCAGTTATTGAAAGGGATAAGAAGGAAATTTATTACTTTAAAAGTAGACACAAAGACCAAACTTGACAATCTCTGAATCTTTTGTGATAGGCAACTTCTTTTCAAATGAGTTCACAAAGATTAGCAAAACCATCTGGAATGGGTAAAGGCAAGGGGCAAAATGCTATCTTATATAGCACACAGGTACATCAAACTAGAGGTGTTTTTATTTTCAAGAAAAAAGTGTACGAGTTTCTATTGCCCAGTTACTGTGCATATGGGTTCACGAGATCTAAATGTGTTTGCCCAATTAATTACTCTACTGTTCAACAATGATGGCCAATGATCCAAGCAGTCTTTTCCTCCTCAGACATAGACGAAACTCGTGCACACAGGATGTCTTCTCTGTAGAAAATGATCCCAACAAACTCTATAATTATTTTTTTTCTTTTGAAATAAAGCCATCAATTCAATTATATTTCAAAAACAGCATGTGAGAGAATATATGGAATAAATGTCTCTGCAATCCTTTGGAGAAAGCTAGAAGATGGTTTCCTCTACACCACTCTTGCTGGTAACCAACTTCAATATTAAAAAATAATGGCTGATCAAAACTGTTCATCATTATCCTTAAATAGTGTGTTGGTTTGCAATAGTTATCTTCATTAATACAGATGAAGGTGTGCTCTTCCACGTTCAATTATACGTGCTATCTGTCCCTCCATGCTGGTGAGCAGATAACTAAGCTTAAGAAGTAGCAGATCAAACAAAGAACCCTAGTGTAAGGACACACAGGAGTCAGGTAAACTGGCCTAATTAGCACTGTAATTAGTTCGTGTGATTACTAAAACAAAGCAGAACAACACAGGAAACACTTGGAAAGGAAGCCTGGTGGCGCCCTACCCCCTACACCTTGTCTCTAACTCAGCGAAGAGCCCTATCATACGGTCTTCTGAACCCCCTGGCTCCCCAGCCTCTAGATGCCAAGTTCACGCCCAGGCCTAGGAGTTAAAAGATGCACAAGGTTTACATGGCTGCTATTGTGACATTAGGATTTTAGCAGAGTGAAGCCTCCTGGGTAAGCATGGGAAGGGGAAGGGAAAGGCAGGCCTGGGCTTCTTTTAACACCACTGTATTTGCTTAGCTTGTGTAAATGTTAAGTGTTAATTCATATACTTCTATTCACAGGCCTCCATCAACACCATTTATAAAACACAAGTCCCGGGGTGGAGTCCACACGCCTAAAGGGGTTTCTTTAGAATTTTATATGTAATCGTCAAGGCTTCTTGCTATTTGATATAGAATTCTGCCTAATTTTAACCAGTTTCAAAAAAGAAATAGTTACAAAGCTTCATCCAGAAAAGATGACAGAGAACATCAGTGAAAATCTAAGGGAAAATAACCATTGTGGGGAGATCGAGTAAGTGAAATTGATCTTGAGCAATTATAAAGAAAATTCTATTTTATAATACTAACAATTAAATGATACTAATTCCTTTCATTAGAAGCAGTTTTTACTCTTTATTTTATTTGGTCTTTGCAATTACCCTGAAAATTAGGAAGATGCTTTAATCCTAATTTCACAGAATTAAATGACTCAATGGTGCCAAGTTGGAGAGTATAGAGTCCACATAGCACAATCCTTGGACTTCCAGGTCGGCCAGGGTCTGTTGGTCCCTGCTAGCTGTACATGGTGTTCTCGTTTTTTCCTGGGCCAGTGAGACACCAAAAAGCTTTGCTGCTTTCATTAGCCTTGGTCTATTTTAATCTCAATTGTTGTTTTCAAACGTAAACTGTGTTGTTCAGTTAAACTGTGTTTTGCTCAAATTGTTATCTTTCAACTTCGACGAGCATATCATGTATCAATCATTATTGAAACAAAACTGTATCCACAAAGGAAAAACATTTTAAAATATTCCAATTAAAGTCTGTATAGACATTAAGGAAACTGTCAATACTGTCTTGTATTCAAATCTTAGACAAATTATCAATTAGATAATTAGATTAGATAATTAGATTAGACTCAATATCGATTCTCAGAGTGATTGCATTGTTCTTGTGACAAGAATAGGATTTGGGGGGCTCTGAGATACTGCAATGCCACTTTCTAATGCTTATGTCTATTTATCTTCAGAAGAATTAGATTCGTAGTGAGGATTGCTACAACTTAAAAGGCACATCCATGTCATTAGGAATCACAAAAACAAGTGACACTATTATACTGTTGCTTTTCAGAACGGTTAGTGAAAACTTGGTAAATAGTTACAAAATGTTATTTGAGGTCCCCTAAGGACTAATCAGATGCAGAGAGAATGGTTTCGTTACAAGCAAAAAATAAGATTCATATCCTCTGTTATACATAAAAAGTTTTAAACAAATATACAACCAACATATGCTTGGTGTCTGCCACAGAATTAAGTATAAAGCAGCTTGCATAACCATACAGGGCATGATAGGCAAACCATGGGGAGTTATTTGGAGCAACTACTGGGAATGCGAAGGCTGGTAGAAAGAGAACACAGACCCTCTGCCTCTAGTTTCTCATCGCCTCTTATGGAAAGGATGGAAAGGTCAATGTGGGGGTGCCTGGGCTCTTACTTAGCAACTTGCTCTATGATGATGTGAAATAGTTGGACTGAAGTGATTGATTTGTAAAGGTGATATTGATGACACAGACCCTATGCTCTTCTACCCAGTCTTTAGATTTAAGTGGTGTAAGAAATGGAGAAGGGGAAAATTCCCAACCCAATTTATTTTAAATTTTCAAACTGGAAAAAAATCTTAAGCAGTTTTTATTAAGTGATCTTTAAATGTACTGCAGGAGGCCCACACATCAAGTTTCAAAACAGAGTAGAAGATGGTGGTCTGGCAGTGTGGAGCTGAATGTGATGTCCTGCACTTACCAGCCACGAATGGAGCATGGTCAGACTAGTTAAATGAAGTAAGATTTTTTTTTTGAGGAAAAAAAATGTAGATCAAAAGACATATGACTCCTACAAGTTGAGGTACAAAAACATTTCAGTACTCTATGGGGCAAACTAAAATAGCAGATTATACAAATTATAAATAAAACAAAGCTGCAATATTGCATATGGAAAATGATCCACTCACTTTTTATGCATTCTGCTGGTTTCATTATTGTGTGTATCCCTTGCCTTTCCAAAGCAAGGCTTCTAGGATCCCCTGAAAATGCCTTTAGTTTTGCAACTGAACATGTATATCTTTGAGATGGTCTATAACTTCTGTCAGGTAAACAAAGGCACTTATGACCCTTGGGGTTGCAATTCACTATCTTGTAGAAAATTGATAACAACTTCCCGGAGATTTTCCTTTTAAAATTTTCTCCATAAAAACAATCAGTGCTTCACACTTTGACCTTACCAGTCACCTCCCAGCTGTCTTTCTTTCCATCCTCCAACCTGTTCTCCATAGTAAATATTAACAGCTGTTAGACAAGCTATGAAAAAGTCCTTATCATATTCTAAAACCACTAATAAACACTAACCTGATAATTTTCACTTCAGGGTCGAGCTCGGACTTCATGTTTTAGCACTGAAATGCATATTCCTGGATTCTTTACTACCTCAGCTGATAGTACCTGACATTTATAGAGTAACATAATATGCCAGGGACTGTGCTGTGTTCTTTAAATAAAAAAAAAAATGGACTCACATACTCTACCAAATGGCCCTGTAAGACCTGTCCTGTTACCATCATAACCCAGATGTACTGTATGGAGACTCCAGGAGTAGAATATCTGCCTCGATGTACAAAGCCTCTAAATGTCAGCTTAGAACTCAGCCCCATGCAACTTACCCCGACGAGCGTCTCCAGCAGTGATGTTGCCTCCTGCCTTCTGAATGCATTGATGCAGACATTCTTCTTTAGATGGCTGGGTATTCCACTTGAAACAGAGCACATTTGTGAGTCCAAGCTTTGTTCATATTCTGGTCTCTCCACTTCTCCTAGGCTGACTGAAATCTCTCTTCTTCTGTAATACGTTCATTAGCTCTTCTGTCTTGGAACCCTAAGACCTGCAACAACCACTCCATCACATCCCATGTGTTACTCAGACACAATTTTGCGTTATGATTTTTCTCTAATTGGACAGGAAGACACTGGTGGGCAGGGCTTTGATCTTCCTCTTTGGTTCTCTCATCTTTAACACAGTTCAGTGACTTTCATTGAGTTTGCATTCATAAAATACTTATTGAGGGAATAAATTAACATGAACTCTACAGAGTGTCATGTTTGAAAAGTGATACTATAATTAGTTCTCTAGCATTCTATTATGTCTTGATAAAAGATCCTGTAGATGGTGGCGGGTGGGTTTATGAGATACTGCACCCTTACTGAAACTGGCTCTCTGTTTTTTCACTTTGCCAGAGGTAAATCTGACAGACAACAAGAAACTCTGTATGTGTGTTGTGTGTTGTGTGCATATTTATATAAATATATAAAATACATACATACATATATATATATATATATAGAGAGAGAGAGAGAGAGAGGGGGGGGGGGGGGAGAGGGAGAGGGAGAGGGAGAAAGAGAGAAACAGAGACAGAGAGAATGAGTGTGTCTAGCTAAAAATACTGTTTTGAAAGATTTTTAAAAACCTATTGCCATTCTCTTAAATAAATTTCAGTACAACTAGATTAGTTGTGTGTGTGTATGTGTGTGTGTGTGTATGTGTGTGTGTGTGTGTGTGTGTGTGTGTGTGTGTATGTGTGTGTGTGTAGGTCAAAGGTAGATGTAGGTGTCTTCCTCAGTTACTCTCTACCTTGTATCTTTTTTTTTTTTTTTTTTTTTTTTTTTGGTTTTTCGAGACAAGGTTTCTCTGTGTAGCTTTGCGCCTTTCCTGGATCTCTCTCTGTAGACCAGGCTGGCCTCGAACTCACAAAGATCCACCTGCCTCTGCCTCCCACCTACCTTGTATCTTAAGACAAGGCCTCTTGCTGAATATGAAGCTCACAATTGACTAGACTCACTGCTCAGCAATCCCTAGGGATCCTTCTGTTTCTGACTTTCCAGGACTGGGATTATACTCTAATCTCTTCTCCATCTGGCTTTTACAAAACTGTTGATTTTTATTTTGTTTTATGTGCTTGAGTGATTGCCTGCATGTTATATATGTGTTCCACCTGTGTGTCTGGTGGCCACGGAAGCCAGAAGAGGGAGTCACTACAATTTCCCTGATCTTGAGTTGTGAACCACCATATGTGGGTGCTCGGATCTGAACCCAGGTCCTCTGCCAGAGAAGCAAGTGTTTTTCACCACTGAGCCATCACTCTGGCTCCGTAAGTCTGGTTTTCCTCAAGCTTACAAGGCTAGCACTTGACAGACCGAGTCTTCTCCCAAGCCCCAACTCAACATTTTTATTTGTTTGTTTGAGACGTGGTTTCACTGCATAGTCCTGGCTGTCTAGAACTCATTATGGAGACCAAGTTGACCGGGAACTCAGGGAGGTCTCCCTGCCTTTGCCACCTCAGAGCTGCTATTAAAGGCCTATGCTTCCATGCCTGGCCACCCTCCCAGTTCATTCTCAAGGAAAGGATCTACTTATTGAAGAAATTCTTCTTAATCCAGAGCCAAAACTTTGTTTGAAGTAGGTTCAGAGGCTCCAGGCTCCAAGTTAAGTGGCAGCTCTTGGAAATAGTAAGATCTTTGCGTTCTTTTTAGGCCTTCTTTAGTCCCCTACTTGTTTGGGCTACTGTCTGATGGCCCCATTTGCATTCTTTCACATCATGTACCCCACTACCATCAGACAAAAAGGTAACAAGAGACGGAAGAGCTCTCGAACATGCTTGAAAAGCTAATCCTCTCAGCCAGGCAGAACCTTCCTCATGGAAACTATGTTTTTTCTCTTATATGCACAGAACACCTTGTGTACCTAATAAAAACACACATTATCTACCTAGTTATTCAAACTTTGGACAAATGTGATATGGGAGATATTTTGTATAACAAATCAGGCTATAGCCATTCTGAATAATTATCATATGTGCGTATGTGCCTGCAAGAGAATGCTTTTACTATCAGAAAACCTGCTTTGAAATGTCTAAAAGTAACTTACTTCAGAGCATCTCATCACTCAGTGATAATATCCAGAACTTAGATGCATGGCTCTAAATGACTCAGCTTTCCTTTTAATAACTTAAAATGCAAGGCTTAGGTTAAGTCAAGAACACTTAAATACCCACAGATAGAAGGCAGATACTGAATGTATGAAGTGTGCTTGGTGGAAATCTCTCTGAGAAGTACCAAGTACTTGGATACCAGACCAAGTTGGAGAAAATATGCCCTGTCTGAAGAGAAAAGCCATTGGTCAGTCCCAGGTGAATTTAGCATGTAAGAAATAAAATACCATGCTAAAAACAAACAAATGAACAATCAAAAACCTTAATATGTATATGTTTTTAACTATTTTTTTTTAAACTGTAAAGGACTAACCTGTGGAGTATGAGATCTTGCCTAGAAACTGTCATTTTCTACTGTGGACTGAACATTACATCCTTCGGTATCTGAGTCATGTAATAGAATATCCACATGGATATAAAGTTATAATTAGAGATGAGAGTCCCAGACTCTGGACCAATCCAGAAAATGTAAAACACACAGTATTTTGTAAAAGTTTAGTGGTGGCCTGATCATCTTCAGCAATGACATGGGGATTAGTAACAGAGCGGAGTGTTACGGTTCCCATTCTAAGAGTGGAAAACAGACTTGACGAGTTGCAATCACCTGGTTCATTCTCCCCTCTTGAACAGGGGATCTCTGGTTTAGGAGAATCCACTAAATGCCCTGAAAGGACTTTATGTAATGTTAGTAGATATGGAAGGGTACTATAGAAACACACAAAGAAACAGAAAGCTTCCATTTCAAATCCTTCAGATTTGAGTGAAGATAAGGAGCATGCATGTGAATGAAGCTGTTTGTGAAGACTGGTGTGTAGGAATTCATGCTGAGCAGTGCTAACACAGAGAAGGACCAAGTCAAGTGAGGCCCATGATCCCAGACTTGGGAGGTGAGTGCCAGCATTGTATTAGGCCTTGAAGAAAGTCTGAGGCCAGACAAGGCAGAAATAAACAAGCTCCAGCAAGCCCATTGTATCTTGTTTTGGAGACAGGAAGAAGAAAGTAAGGGATGTCCAAGAACATCCAGGTAAACAAGGTAAATGACAGCAGATGTGAACGAGGGGACCTAAAGGGTCTCACAGTTCCGAAAATGGAATAATCATCCAGAGTAGGGCAAAAATAAAACTTACCGAAAGCGTCCATTTGAGTCTGTTTTAATATTGTATTCGATCTGGTTTGTCAGAATTGTCAGTCTTATTTTAACCAAAACTTGAGATACCTGGCTAAATGTCATAAGTATATCACTCTTAACAATTCAACAAAAGAAACATTTAAGAAAATCACAGGCTCAATAATCAAACAACACAAGTAGAGAGCACAGAGTAAATTTTGATTACTATTAGTAATCAACAAGACATGGAGAAGAGATGTGTGAAGAAAGCAGGAAAACACAGATCCACATTTAGTTTGTCATTTGATAGCCTAGTAACCAGGGAACAGTGACATGGGCAAGTTGTCCAGATCTTATCAGTTTCTTTCCATGTAAAGCATACATGGTTCATATTTTATAGATTTGTTCTAAAGATCTGTAATAACAAAACTTGAGCGAGAATAGGTAGCATTAAGTAGTAGCTATTATTATTAAAATAATCATAATCAGTCCTCTGACAACTGTAACTTCCCTTGTAAAATTCATAAACACCCTACCAATGAATCAATTCCTCATGCAGCCCAAATATCTTTATTAGGAATCTGAGGTCTAGAATTGTAAAAAGAGTCATTTCCCAAATTTCTTCACCATTAGTATTAATTTAGACATTGACCAGTTGAGAGAGAGTCTTAACTGCCACTACATATAAATGTGTGTAGACATAGTATACAGATATATGTATATATGAACAAATATATGTGTATGTATGTATAAACAAACGTTTGCAATAATTTATATTACTATGTTTACACAAAGAAAAAATTTAGAGAATTTCCCCTAGGATTCTTAGAGAAAATTAATCTGCTGATTTTGAAGCCTTGCTGTTTTCTACCATGCCTTGTTGCGTCCTGTGTTTTGTGTGAAGGCAGCTGCTGCTGCTGTGTGTAGCACAGTTCTCTACTGTCAGCTTCACTGCTGAGCAGAGAGAATGAGGTACTGCTGCAGCCTTGCTGTGAAGCCTAAAAAGGGACACAGCCCAGGAAAGGGGAGAAGAAGGGCCCCGGGACCGGAAGGCCTACTTTTCAGTGAAGCTGTAACTGAAGTACACCGAACCAAGGTCATTTATTAGGAGACTTCTGCACAGCAAACACACTCCTACTCAAGAAAGGGAGGAAAGGCCACTCTTGATTTGTGTTTATGAAACTGCAAATCATTCTTCCATAAAATACAGGAAGTCCTCCCTAGAGTGCATAATGTGAATGCCAAAAGTCAATTAATTACATTTAAAACTACAAATTAAAAACAAAAAAATCACAAATCTGTATCCATATTAAAAAATTCTATCAATCATCTATCTATTTTCTGTATATAAACCTGCTGTAAGTTGGATAGAAAGCAAGAGATATAAAATGTAACACTTGCATAAAATTGTTTTCATCTGGATTTAAGTCTAGCATCTAAAGAATGAACTAAAAAAATCTCATCTGTGAAAATGCAAGATTAAATTATTCAATAGTTTCTTTATCAAAAATATTTCAGACATTGTTCAAAGTATCCATTTTCCCACTCGGATAGAATAAGATTGTTGACTTCATTTCATTCAGAAAGAACACAAAAGGGAAATAGGGAATTACATGTCAGCCTATCACTTTTGAAATGTATACACTTCGGCTGTCATAAATGGTTGATTTTCATTTGCTTTTTAATACTTGTGAATTACTGGCTTTTCAATAATTCTGAGTATCAAATACACCTTTTAAAATGAGCCAAGTGGAGAAAGTTATTGCTTTAAGAATTATCAGTTATACGTATTCTCTATCACTATTTTTCACTCCAGAAAGCTGCAAACATCTGCACTGATTACAATTAAAAACAGTGTAAGAGATTATCACTCCAATTATAGCCTCCTGGTCTAATCAAAATTCAGCCCTGTTCCAGACAGCGAGCGATGGGTGTGACGCCCATATGCCTTGTGCTCTGCACGGGGACCTCCCCAAGTTCTGCTGCTTTTTCTCTAATCAATGAATATGTATAGTTGTCCTGAATTTGTCTTTATCAGAAAGTAGCAGTTTATGTGGATAAAATTTCAAGACTCTTGAAACTCTGCTTTTCCTTTTAGTTTATATAAACCCATTTGGAAGAAATAAAAAAAAGCACTACTATTGTATTCAACAAAGAAGTTTCTGACTTTCCAAGTTTTTTTTTAAGTTATTATTTTAAGAACTTCACTATGTTTGGTTTACATATTATTATTGTAATACTATTCTCTCCAAAATGGATAGAAAACCCGCTAGATCTGAAATATGCTTACATTAAACCAGTAGTTATTACATAGGAATAAACTTTACAATTTTAATTAATTTTAGTGTACAAAATAATGCATCTCATTGTGACATTTTCATACACACAGAGACATCACTCACCCCACTGCCCCCCCCCTACATTCCTCCTCACTTTATTGCTGTTTCTCTGATGTTAGAAGTAAGTTCTTTTTATATATGGAAATAAAACAGAAGTGGATATGTACCAATTATTAGAAAATATTAAGAACAAATAGTTTTCAAATTATATTCAGATATATTATATTATATATAAACTGAGAATATATTATATTCTCAATTTCCATGAGAAAGTTATAATTAAAGGTAAGCTAAAAAAAATCAACCACTTTATTATAGCAAAATATATAGATATACTAGGTAAACATTTCCTGAATGTAGATAGATAGACAGACAGACAGACAGATAGACAGATAGATGTAGATATAATCAGTAAGCATTTTGTGGTTAAGATTGTTATGTTGCCATTCAAGAAGTAGATAAAAAGAGGAAACAGCATTCTACATGGCATATTTTTTCTATAGTTATTTAAAAGGTGAAAATTTAGATTTGGCATCTTTATGCATATCTATACTAAAATTTGGTACAAAGTTTGATAATCAAAGAAACAGTTTTTGAAAAGCATCCATACTTTAAAATATGTGTGCGTTTGTCTAAGTTACATGTTGAAAATATAAATTTTCAAAAAGAATACAACTAAGACAAATGTACCAGACCAATGTTCACATCGTGTTTCAAATTTCTATTTATAATGGAACCACTGAAATAGAATGTTCTACTATATATATCATGTGTATATGACATATGATATATATGATATAAAAATGCCAAAAGTGAGGGAAAAGAACCAATAAATTATTTCCTGTTGCAATATTACTTGAAATATTTGAAGTACTGTGTTTGCTTATTAAATCCTTTTAAGTAAACCTTTTTTTTTTTTTAATTCAAAGCCTGAATGAGCATTTGAGCACCACTCCAGCTTACATTTCTTACTGATCTCCAACCACAATAAAATTTGTATGGGTTTTATGCCACGAAGCTTTCAAAATTCCTGTTTCATGGGAAAAAAAAGAGCTGAAGCTTTCCCCGATATTTTATCCTCTATCTAGTGACATAAAATCGCTGACCGAAATCATGCAGAGGTCTATTTTAAAAAATTAGAAATCAACTTTTTTGTCTCCTTAAAAGACATCTTGATGAAACATAAAAGTAGTTGCCCACCTTGTCCAAGAAAGCCATATTCTTAGAAACAATAAAATAGTATCCAAAATGTATGAATCAATGAAATAAAAAAGGATTCCTAAGCTTTCTAAATAAATCTCAACTAGGAAAAAAAAATCCAGTGTGTGCCACTAGTTGAAGTTGACTTATTAGACGAGGTATAAGCTGCACGCCTCTGTACACGTGGTGCATAACGACACTTTAACGCTATTTTGCAAAGTGAAAAAAAAAAAACTACTTTAGCTTTTAAACAATTTGCAGGTCGACACTTCGAGTGCCGCTCACAGGGCGGCACGCCTGCGGGCCGACGAAGAAGAGAATCCAGAACATAACTGATTTAGGTTCTGTGTGCTTCCAGGACGCAAGAAGTCCGTTCTTTGACGCTCTGGCCTCTTTTAATCTCATCCCATGGGTGCTGGGGAGATGGTGCATTTAGAGGAAAGCCTCAAAATACCAAAAGAAAACAAAGGTGTGAAAAACAAGCCATGTTTTAAGTCTTTCAGAAAACTGAAAATCAAAACATGAATTTGTGAAAGAAGGGGGAGCGCAAACTAAGAAAGGAAATAGAAAACAGAAGGAAGCTTGAAAAGGCTTGAGGGAAGGAGAAGAGAGGAAAGGGCTGAAGGAAGGGAAGAGAGGGCCAGAGGAAGACTAACTCCACCCAAACGAACGTGGTACCCAAGACTTAAAGTCAGGTTACTGAAACTGAGGAGATATTTTATTCTAAAAGTATTCATGTTTTTCCAGCAAAATAAGCATCATGTTTCTCAATTGTTTGAGTAGAGGTGGCTACTCCTCTCTGCCCTTGCCCCCGACACCATCTAAATCCGAACAGGGGTTGCTCCCTGAGATCCGCGGGTCTGGGCGAGACTTCGCAGACGACCACTAGATGGCATGAAAGCACTGTATTGGACCTGCAGCCGCCTTGCCCAGCGCGACATTGAGGGGTTTATTCTCTCAAGCTGGGAGCTCAGTGTTAGTCCTGTAAGGTGCCTTTTCTTTGAGAAAGATCTTTCTGTGTCGCATGACACTTTTCCAGGACACAAAGGGAGTATTCTGCCCTCCCTCCAAGCACATTCAGAAAATGTCGGATTAAATTTGGAATAGTGAAAATCATGTCGGTGTTTGCTGGGGTTTCCTGAGAACTTTACTCTCTTCTCTTTGGGGGATAGTGTGCTATTTGTTATGTAGCCTTCCTCAATGGGTGGACAGAAAAGCCTCCCCAGCGCTGTGCCTGAGCTCAAACACCTGCAGACAAAGTTTGCGTACTCTCAGTCATCTTCCTTTTTCATGATTTTTTTCTTTTCATCAAAAATTCTCTTTGTTTTTCTTTATCTCATGTTGTGGGGGCCTCTCATTAAGGGCTATAATGTGAAATGCTGGACTTAAAGCTGTTCTCACAAAGGAGACAATCCCCTCTGAGCATCCTCTACCAGCCAGGCAAAGCATGTCTTTGTTCGTGCTTCTCAAATGCAGTATTTAAAGTTTTTGCTTGGTCACTAGGCATTTTCTGGTTTGCCCCTCCACACCTGCAGACACTTTTTTATATGTGGTGTGTTTTCTGTTTCCCAAGATGGCTATGAAGCATATCGCTCCCCGTACCTCCACACCAGTAACAATTACCATATCCCTTCAGACGTTAACACTATTTGCCTTCACAAAAGGTCCATTGTAAAGGGTGTTGTGATCTTTGGGTGAGTCCCTTAATTTAAAATAATGGCAAAAGGAGAAAATTAGGCCTCCGTGCTCAGCAGTGTGTGAATGACAAATCTGTTGTAGGTGAGGTGTATTTTTAATATTCCTTTAAAAATCTCATAGAAAATTTACATATGATCAAAAACAGTATTATACATTGGCAAGCTGAAGTGCATAATTTATTTCATGTGCTGCCGATATAGCTATGTCTCTATATGTCTAGTGGACTTTATAGTTTGATAGATACGAAATCATACCAGTTTAAAATCTCAAAGATTTCTAAAATATTATTCTGCTACCTACCCTTGAAAGGCTTTCTTTCCTTGTATAGCCTGTAGAGTGTCCAAGAGTAAGATGTATCATCTGAAATATTTTCTTAGCTCTGATCCATAAATTTACTAAAACTGGAGATTCTATCAAGGCATCTAATTAAAACATTTAGTGAAACAAAGATCCAATGATGTAATCGTACCTCTTTAAAATGCAAATGTTAGGAAATCAGAGGGCACCATGGTGGCAAAACTTGCTTTACAGGCAGCGTTATGTGTATTTTCCCCTCTGTGTGGCTCTGGATTGAGGAAATATCAGTTAATTTGTGGTGCTAACATATGGCATGGCTAAAAAGTTACATCTTCAATTTTTCTCATATTTGATAATAACACTGTCTTTACTTTGGATATAACCCCCCAATTCCAATGACTGTTATAACATGTAACATACCAATATGATTGATAGAAAGAGAGCTAGGATGAGACACAAATCAGGAAACAGGATCCCTATGCATGCACAACTGCATGTCCCCTCTTGACTGTGTTAACTTGAGAGACATAAAACAAGACTGATACTCTAGCACACTAAGACAATGTCTTGACATGTGGTTACAGCTTCCTTAAAAAGACTGTGGGTTTCTGCTTATTTGGCCTTGCTTCTAAGTATTTAACATCTAAGATGGTGATGAGCATAAGTCACTCTGCCTGGTCATGCACTGGGAGAGCGTGAACCCCGCAGAAGCAGAACGCAGTTCTGTCTGAGCCCTTGCAGAAAAATAACAGTTTCTTGTGGGGTTTGAGAGGGACATTGCTCCACAATGGTTCACAATTATTCTAATAGAGACCTTTTGGAAAACATTTCAAAAAATACTTAAACTCTGCCTGGGAATGTAGCACAGTGGTAGATTCCTTGCTTAGCAAGCTCTGGCTCTTGGTTTGATCTCAGTCCTGCAAAGCAAAAAACAAACAAAAAATGTTTTTTTTTAACTCCTATGTGAATTAATGATTATAAATATTCCCCAAGTTAGAAAAAGTGACACTTCTAAGTGTTTGTGGTGGATGAGAAATAGATACAATGACACAGACTAAAATTTGGTTTATTCTTTTGGCATTCAGAGTTGGATATAATTCTGATATTATTTTATGCAACGCAATCAAATATAAACATATGAAAGCAATATTGTAAGTGCTTTTGTATTTAAATGCAGAAAAGTTCAAGTCCCTTCGTAAGAACATTGAGCAGAGTTAACTAGTATCTGAAAGGACTGGTTATGCATTACATCCTCATTTATCCATTCGTATTCTGTAACGTTAACTGGCGATTATACAAATACATTCTTAAAAATCTATTAACCAGGCTCTACCTTGATTCAAAAATGTTTGGTTTTCAAAATATGTCTTATTTTGCTTTTCTGAAACATGATTTTTTTTTCTCTCTCTCTCTAAAATGGGTTTGGCTTTTTGAGTAAGCAATTAGTTTACTATAAACAATTTAATAATTAAATTTTCAAATTGAACATCATAGTCACCTCCATTATGTTAAACAGTAAACATTAAATAGCACAGTCATGATTGCACAGACATAAACTCCCAAGCTCCTGACCCTTAGTCTTTGTCATAGCCCATGAAGGAGACCCTAGGAAACCACTATAGATTGCTAAGTTTCACTAGCAGGGGCCTAACAATAATTTTGTAACTATTAATAAAACCAATGTGCTTCTTCAAAAAAAATATACATTAGCCTTTTGTTATCTGGAGCACCATAAATTTGAACTACATTTTTATAATAAGAATCTGCAGTTGGAGGAAACCAAGAATAAATTTTTTAAGGAGGCCATAGAGAGTATTTGTTTAATGGGAAATGCTGATGACAGTTTCGGATAACTGAAATACTTACCTCTTTAGGGTGTGAAACACAGAAGGAACAGTTTTTAAAAGATTTCATCATTGACTTAGGGAAGGAATCCTAACTTTTTGTTGGTAGTATCATTCAATTCCTTCACAGAAACTTGTCATTTTTCCCCCAAACTAATAAAAATCAGTTTCTCAATATGTGAATTTTGCTTTCCAAATTTCTTCACAAAATGTCCCCTCACAATGCACTGCCCAGGCATTTCATTACCATCCTGGTCAAACTGAGTGGTCACCAAGTCAAGCTGAGAGCGCACACACATGCCCTTCCTCTGCAGTCCTTCAGCTTGGGAACACCCAGCCTCGCAGCGGCTTCAGGACTGCCTTTCTGCTCCTGTGGAGACCAGTGTCTGACCAGGCCACAAACACTGGAGGAGAGTACTGGCCTCCCCACTACTTGGTTTTCCAAACACAGGAGGCTTTTTGCTTTTCTAATTATGCATTGAGTGATGGTTTATAAATGTGTAACATTCTTCAGAAAGGAACAGGGAGGAAGAAAGAGGGAAGGAGAGGGGAGGAGAGGAGGAGATACAAACTGGAACCCAGAAATCTGGCAGAATACATGGTCTGAAGGCCTGGCCTACCCTTGAAAGCTCGAGGTAATAATAATTCAACTCTGTAATTTTTTTTTATTCTGCCATTTCTTTTCCTTTCTCTTACATGGACATACGTTCACAAGCAAGCTCGTACAAACACGCTCACACAGGCCTGCTCTCCAACCTGCAGTGAAAGGCTAATGTGTGTGGCTAGGCTTAGGAAGGACCATTTGCCCTGGCACTGGTAATGACAACAAGCCCCACCCACTTTCCTTAGGCTGTATCCTGCCTTACAGTTGACGAAAACGCCCCACACAGGAGGCTCACATTAAACAAAATATGCTGTGTTCTGGAAGGAAAGAGAACCCCCTGCCTAAGTTTCATGCATGTGTAAGTGCGTGAGTGCATGCGTGCGTGTGTGCTCGCGCACATATGAATGTAAAGTGTGGCAAATGGGCTCAGACTCAGAAATCATGATGGAAGAACAGTATGAAATATAAACAATATGTGAACTACAGTAAGAGCAATTAACTGAATAGTTGACACAACATAATTTAGATGTCATCAAATGTGCTTCCAATTCTCTTATCAGTCTTCCAGATTTCACTATTGATTGAATGATCACATGAGATGTATGCCATAAATACATAACTCATGAGTGTATTCTGGAGGAGCAAAATGAAAGAAAAAGAAATCTCCTAACAAGAGTCCAGTGGCTTAGGTAGAAATAGAATTCAAGACATTAAAAAAAAAAAAAACCCTCAACACCCAACACCCAATTTAATCCTTTAACCACTAGGCCACACTCTTATTGAAAATGGTTAATAGAAACAACATTGCCCTTTTTGTACAGCTGTAGGTGCCCTATTGATCTGTATCACATAGCACTTAACACTGGATGATTTGGCTAGGAAAAGCAATGTTCACTGTTCCATGGCGAATCAGGCAACAATGCTCAGATTTGCTATAGAACCAGGAAAATAGCCCAGGAGATAGAGAAACAAACAATCTCAAAGAATAAACCTCATCTGCATGTTTTTTACCCCACAAGAAAGCAATGTAGTTGAGTGCAACTGTATTAAAAGTCAAACTCTTTATGCCTAAGGCAGATGTGGATCATGAGAATGGAAACCTAATAAACCAACAGCTGAAGGCCACATTATTGCCCCCCCTCCCCTCACTCATTTAGAAAATGACATGTTTTTCTTCACAATGTTTTCCCCTTCTCTCTCTTTAGTGGCAGAAATGCTGAATGCTCTTGACATAATTCTTCGTTCACCCCTGACAGTCATGTTTTTGAATACTATCCCCGCAATAAAACACCTGACCTCCAGTCTTTCAAATGGCCATTGGCTTGGGTTTCCCCAATTAGCTGGACTCATTTGGAAGTATCCAGAGGAGCCAGGCACTTCACTACTCACTAAAAGCAGCATTATGCACGAATGCATCGTTTTATTCAGGTCAATCTTATTTTTTCTCGGGGATTTCTTTTTTTCTCTATGGTTGGAGCACACACACACACACACACACACACACACACACACACACACACAAAAGGCTTAAAAATAATCTACAGGGACCTAGAAATACCAAATAATACCACTTAGAAGTCATATGAGGCAACATTTCTAGTTCATTGAGAGCTAGCTTTTCAGTGTTTCCAGATTACTGAGGGAATTATATGGAATAGTATATATAGCGAGCTTATTCTATTTACCTGTAAGTTAGCTACATGTCTACATAAGGCAGTGAAATGCACATACACATCTGCCCAGATATGCATCAGTGACATTTTAGTTTCTAGGTCAAAATATTTTGGGGTTACAGGTATCTTAAATTAACAGATCAGCATCAATATCCCCTTAGAGAGGAAATATGTACCTCCGCATAGAAGAGTGTGCTTACCATGCGTTTGTGTGGTGACACATGGGGACTTCATTCCAGGAATGACTTTTCTGTTCCTGTAAACAAAGGCCAACTGGGGCCCCTGAGACAACTTTGGCGATAGGATATGGACATAGCATCTTCAACATAAATATGAGAGAAATGAAATGTATTTTGAAGATTAAATACATATATTTTAAATGATTCTGAACTAAATTCGCCTTTGCATATCTGATACAGCAATCTCCACTCCTTTTATTTTGCATTTGATATTTTTCAATAGTCACTGCATTTCTCAATAATGGGATAATTTTCTTCACAAATCCTTTAGAGTTTGTGCTATGCAATTTTATCATGGTCCATATTTTTATTCTCTCCTAAAAAGGCTAAACCACAAGATTTCTTGATAGATAATGCTGGAGATAAAATATGAAGTCCATACAATTGGAAGTAGACAAATAATGCAGGCCAAAATGAGCATCTCTTCAGAATACAAGGTTCCTTTTGACATTTAAGCAGTGACTGCATGGAGGGAAAGAGAAATTGAATTTAGCTGATGCAAATGAAATTAAAACGAAGCTGGTTGTCACATCAAACTGATGTTAACTATGTAAATGTTTTCTGTTTATAAAACTACATTTTAAAGTGTATAATATTACAAAAATAATATTTTTCACATTATTGAAAATAGAAATTTAAAAGATAGACTGTGAAACTGTTTAAAACTGTTTCCATTTACCATGTCATGTTTAAAGGACTACGAATCATGACCGCTGTGCACATGGAGCAACCGTAATCAGCACACACATACATGCATGCACATGTCAATCGGCTCACATGCTTTGCTGGCCAGGCAAGATCCCATTACATCATTGGTTCAAATGCATTCATTCTCTTCAATATTGTTGGCTGTTTCAGGTTAACTACCAAAATCATTTGCCTGAGAAGCGAGATTTAATTGTCTTACAACTACCTCTGTGCAGTACAATGGGGATTACAAGTACCCATTGATTATACTATTGGGCAGAATAAGGGACTCTTATTCCAGCATTTCCCATTCATTTTGTCGTTGCATTCTCTTTGAAAGAGACCAAATGGGTCCCAGCAGGTGAAAGCAAAGAAACCTGAAAGGCCCCCTTTGATGAATGACAATACCACAACCACCCTACCCCCCCCCCACTTTTGGAGATTATAAAACCTTATTAAATCATGCCCTGTTAGATATTGATTGAGAGGGGCTAAACTAAACCCAACAATAGCAGCATGGATCAGAGAACACTGCTGTCATCAATGGGCACTAAACACAGCTAAGCTTTCCAATCCTTTTTTTTTGGGGGGGGGGCACTTTTTTTTTTTTTTTACTATTTACTTTTGTTTAAACCATTATCCCAGAAAGTCATACAATTATAGTTGCTTTGTCAGTCAAGAATAGGTCTTAGCTGTCTAGCACTTCATCGTTTTGAATGTAGCAGTGTATTGCCCAAACAATATTGTACTTGGTTAAGATTCAGTATTATGATGATTATTTGGGGGGGGTGCAATTCTAGGTAATTATCATAATTATTCTTGACTCTGGGACCCCTTTGATGACAAGACTGCTTTAAAGTAAACCACTCGGACATAACAACCCAAGATATTTGAAAAGCGATTGCTGCCAGAATCAGAGTTGAAAACTCACCCATATTTTAAGGCTATCTTGATTATCAGGCTGTTTGCGTTCCTGGGCTGTCTTTCCTGCCATCTGTGAGCACCACGGCAAACAACCCCTTGATGACAATCACTTCAGCAGAACTTGAATCTGTCTGCTTCAGAGGAGACTTCTGTAATAAGCCTCGGTGCTAATTAACTGTCAGCCCTTAAAAAAATAATAAGCCAGCAGACTGCATTTTAGAAAAACACTCTCCCCCCAAATTTCCAAACAAGAATTAAACTTCTGTGCCAGGCTGTAACTTCTGCTCCCTGTCGACAGGCCTTGCCCAGATTAAAACTGTTTACTTTAAATAGACTGCTTATGATAAAGGTTTTCATTTTTTCTTGACTGCAGGTAAGAATATTTGCCCCTTCCCTCTGGGTAACTATTTGATTCAATAATTTTACATTCCTCCCCAAAGCAAAGAAGATAAAAAACTGGCAGATGAGGGAAAGGGAGAAGGAGAGGCAAGAAAGGAAAGGAGAGAAAAGTACTCAGGTGGGGAAAAAAATAACACATTTTGTGCAAGAAATTGTCATTATTTCATGGTTAACAAATACCAAACCAAAACAAGACAATTAAAAAGGCACTGGCACAACTGAAAAATCACGTTATGTGAAAAGCCAGATATTGTCATTATTAGTTTAATATCAAAGATAAATAATATTCAGTCCAAAAAATCATTTTTGGAAGTAGCATCATGGCACTTAAGAAACAGCAGTCATTATCTGCAGTGACTCTAATTATACTAGAAGACTTACAGAAATAAAGCTTGTATGAAATAAAAATAGAACTTTAAACATCAAATTTAACTCAGTGAACTGACTTTTACTTTGTGGAAAAAATATTAGTAACCACCTTTTTAAAGAAAATATTTCCTAGAAAAATTACAAAACATAAACACTGAAGTTTTATTGTATTTACTTAAGATCCATCTCAGAACTTCTCCCAAATATACATAGAAAATCAAAGTTTTTAAGTTCAGTTCAGTAATCACAGAAAGTCAGAAAAGTACAAAACTAGTTTGTTTTAGGAAAACTTTCCTTTCATCATATTGTTTTCCTCAACTAAGTTTTAATTGCATTTATGCATTAGATTTTATTATTTAATTACATAGGACTTAGTGAAAATTACCTTACTGCTTATCGATACTTTCCACCATGGGTTTCCTGAAATTGTGAGTGTAACTTTTGAAGTTAAGCATGACGTATCTTCAGCAGCTTTAAACCTTTGGCATTAAAAATATGATCTATAAATCTTACTTTCCTGTTTTGATGACCACATCGCCCTAATACTATACTCCAATTGAAAACTCAGCATTTGAAGTTAAGGCTACTACTTTACAATCAGGTTATCCAATTACTATATTAAACAGTTGCCAGGCCGTGTGTTAGATGGTAATTATTTTTTAAAGTGTGACTCTTTGCATACATTTCTAATATGCTGCCAGCCAGTTCAAAATTTCTCAAGTTTTCCTAAGTTACTTGATACAGGCTACACATACTTAGGCATCAAGTGCATTACTAATCTTATTTTCCCTCTGTTTAATACTTTCAAATGTCTTTTAAGTTATACCCATCCTGATTTACTTGGTTCCTCTGTTGGCTTGTGTTTCTAAAAGAAACTCAGCAGCTACTTTTTTTAATGAACCATATATTTTTAAATCCCTCATCAGATTGCACTTTTAGACTGCCCTGTCTCTGGCAAGTAACTACAATGTAAAATAAACCAAGAATTTAATGCGAAATGAATGTTTTTCAACTAAATGCCCATAAAATACATGTCCTATTTTTTCTGCTTCAAAATTGTTTTAATTTTAATTCTTTCATGTTTATTGGGAACACCAAATAAAAATAATTCAATTTAAGGAGTCCTTTCAGTCCCCTCTCTGCTTGTGAGAGTTATTAACTTTATTTAGGATGTGCCCTGTACTTGTGCTACTGTGTACGTGGAGAGATCCCAACTGAATACATTTTCAACTATTGTGTTTAAAAATTTCAGTGACGTCGGAAATTATTTTGGTTTCAGCATTAAATAATAATGAAAATTTCAGTCCCTATTACCGTCCTTAGTATTGAAATTTAATTCTGCCTTGTCATTGTGCTGGATAGACTTTTGTGATCAAATTACATACAATACAAAACAGGTCTGTTGGCCACTTCTGTTCTCTAGCTTAAATCCGTGTGCTTACATCATATCAGCTAGCTACTCTGCCTAAACTGTAACTTATTTTTCACTTTGAAACATACCATAAAATTATTCCAGCCTGAATTAGAACTACAGTGAAAAAAAAAAAAGAAAACTGATTCCTCTTTTACTCAGCTATTTTAAACTGAAGCGAACATAGAAGCCATCCTGTTTTATAACTTTCTTCCTCTTTCCGTGGCCATATGAAGTTTATTTCTGCTTCTGTGACTCATTGATCCAAGTGCTAGAAAATAGGTTTTCTCTACTTCACTAATTGTTTTCAAAGGCCAACTTGTAGGAGTCTAGCAATTGTATTTATAAAGCATTGCTCTCCTCTCTTAGGAAAACATCACCTCCAAGACTTTTCTGTGCATCTGACATCAAATTAAAATTGAATAATTGCTTCAAATTGAATAATAAAATCATAAATCTCTAAATGTTATTAGCATCTGGTTCACAAATAGCTTCTGTTGGATTAAATATGATTTTTCCCTGTGATATTTGTCATATTTGTGTTATTGGAGTGTGGGGAGAGCTAATTCTCACTTAATTTGAAGTAATACTGTTGCAAAAATAAATTTTTGTTAAATGAGATAAACATTGGATTTTCCTTTAGTTGATGACAACATTTTACTCATGTCTTTTCAGATGTTTCTAATTCATAATAATGTTCATTTGTGGAAGAAATCTTGGTGATAAGTTTCAATTGTCATTTCTGAAGTTAATGAATGCCCAACATAGAGCTCTCTTCATGAAGTTTATCTTTCCCAAACTTGTCTTTTCTCTGTATTCTATTCCTTGAAATATTTAAGAAAATTTAATTTCTAGGGAAGAATATCTAATAGTTTGTTTCATTTTTATTTGAAGATTGTTTTACTCACTCTTTGGAGTTTTCAGATGAAAATATTTGGATGAGCAGCAAGATTCTTTGGGATGGAAATAAGCTGTGAGTGGGCTCTACAGTTTCATCAGAACAGCTAAGAACTCTGTGAGTAGAAGCTAAAGGCTTTCTTTTGACCCGGTAAGATCTACTTCGCGATCAAAGTATATTTACAAAGTATATGTATCAATATCCTCATCCAGCACAGATAAATTGGAAACATCCACTAGGGCAGTTCTGAGATGCAGCCCTTTGCTTAAAGGAAGCATTTGAGCAGTTAAACAGCCTTTTAAGCTCTATATATTCAAGTCCTAGGTCCCACTAAGGAATCTAATAGTAAAACTAGTCATCAACACCTTTTCTTTGTCTCTTTTACAGATTATTGACCCACTTCAGTGAGCTTTTAAAGTCACTATTCTGAGAATCTATGTGTGTTTTATTGAGTTTATTTTATTGTTCAAAAAAAGTTGTCAAAACAGTTTGAAATTGCTTTCAAAGTCAGTTTGCTAGCTACTCAATAATATTTCTATTTTGTAATCATATATACTTTTGACATCGAGAGCCAAAATATCTGTGTCCACCAAACTGATATGTTTCCCCATATCAGATTTCCTCTGTTTGGCAAAGGTTTTATCACTATAAAAATGCTCAAAAGAATGGGAGGAGCTTCTGAAGTCAGCAAAAGATTACATCCAAGGCTGGTTTGAGCAATGGTAGCATCTTTGAAATGAGTGTGTGATGAACAGCAAGGTGATCATTGGATGTATTTGACTTTGATGATTGGTGTGTTATTATTCAGTTGTTTTAGTCAGTCACACACACTGCTCTGTTGTCATACATCGAACATCCGTTCTGAGACCCCAGTCCATCTTTTTTAGCTCTACATGAATCAAAACTTGGAAGCTTGTAGTAAATTGCCACACTACCTTTGGGTTTAGGCCTGGTGAAAAATAAATCCTCTTTGTTTATATGCCCAAGCAAAGTTTGTGACCAAGATTAGCATGTTGAACAATAGTTAATACTCTTCAGATGACACTGAATCAACACATATAAATCATATGTTAATTTAGGTTATCTCAAAGTTAGAGAAATGTTAGATCTCCAAACATACAAATTTACACTAAAAATATGAAATATAATGAATATATATACATCCAAATTCAAAATCTTAAAAAAAAACATAAACCATATGGGTTGGGCAAAGCCCTGATTTTAATATTTCATATCTTAATAAGTAAACAAGCAACAGACAAAAGTAAGTGTCCATACTGGTGTTCTCCCTTGGTCAGTAAATTATGATTTAAAATAGATGAATAAGATCAGTCACCAGTTAATTTTAATGATATTTTATATAAGTATTTTTCTCTGAAATTTTATAATAGAGTAGAATTATGTACTTCTCAAATTTTGTACTTGGTTTCCTCTTTCTTTCCAATAAATTTACCTATTATAAATGAAGATCAAATGTCTATGAAATGTATTTTCCTCCCTGAAACTCTGTTATTGTTTGCTAACTGTAATCTATTAGAGTGAACTAGATTCTTGGTCCATTTGGTATATGTACTTCCTAATTAGGCATGGCAGTGCAAGCTGTGGACTTGAGAATCTCTATGTATAACATGCTGAGTCTGATCTTGGTGAACTATTCTTACAGGAGAAGAGATGAAAGTGAACTCAAGTTTCTGTCTTAGTTTAGCAGTGATAGTGTCTCATAGCCTTAGCCTGAGTGCAATTTCTTCACTTTCCTAAACATCAGAAGATGCCCAAAATGAAACTGTAAACACCATGACCATGAGACTGCATTGAACACATGCCAGGAGCTTCATGGCTTTCTGGTTGATGGATGAATGCATTGTCTTTTATGTGACAGCTGATTTTCCCTTATGTATCCCATTTTATTACTGAAGGTTTTTAAGATAACTTTGGGTTGTCATTTCAACTCCCTGTGTTTCTCTATCTGCAGAAATTAATTTTTGCTGCCCTGAAACCTCTTTGTGATTGTTCTTCGGCCAGTTAGTAAAACATATGGATAGACCATGGCTTAGATCTTAGAGACTAGTTCTTTCCAGCTTTGCTTCTTGAATAAATGAATTCTTAAATCAGTTCTTCCTCAAACTTTTAGTGAAGACACTAATCCCAGCC